GGTAAGCAGGGCGCTGGCGGGGCGGCACGAAAATGGCGGGAGGGGCGAGGTGGAGGAGGAGGACGATACTGGAGGTTGCTGAGGTTCGCGTCCCTGGTGCAGGGGGAGCGGCAGGCCCGGGATGGGGTTGTGGGGCACTGGAGGCCTGGCAGGGAGAGGAGGATGCCGAGGCCTGGGGTACAGGAAGACGTGTCAACTGCGCTCTGCAGGTCCCGGAGTTGGAATGTGACAGGGAATGTGACAGGGATGCTTTGCCCTCATCCCTGAGGTGAGCCTGTTCTGTACCTGAGCCCTCAGTGGTACTTTCCCAGCATCTGTTTTGGCAACGAGGGTGCTGGTGTGTTTGGGGACACAAAGAACTGTAGTATTTTTGAGAAAGGTGGGATGGTGTGAATAGTATCCGTAATGGATTGGATTTTCTTCTCATGTATTCACCATGAACTTTGACAGCTTGCATCTACTAACACATGCTGTGTTTAATTTTTCAATTTGAAAGATTATTAGGTACCTGCATTCCTACTGCAGTCAGTAAACGGACTGTGAGAATTAAACCTCTCTTAAACATGAAGGAATGAGAACATTAAAGCAAATTTCTTTAGTTCTTTCAGGACTTCTTGAACTTGGTAAGTAGGTTAAGTCTCCTGCTGTTTAATTCTATTCAAACAGGAAGTGGGCAACAGTCAGTGACAGGAGTTGAAGCTTCAGATGATGCTAACAGTTACTGGCGGATTCGTGGGAAGAATGATGGCAGTTGCCAACGTGGAACACCGGTGAAATGTGGGCAAGCTATACGACTTACCCATGTTAACACAGGAAAAAATTTACACACTCATCACTTCCCATCACCACTCTCCAATAATCAAGTGAGTTGTTTCAAATCTTAAGCTTTTGTATAAATAGTGCATGCTATTGACAATATTCTCTCCAGTTTTTCCATGGTTTTGAAGAATTAGGCTTCAGCTGCCAGAAACAGTATGTCTATGCATTTCCTGAGTTCAAGTATATGTTTTTCTGTATCTTGGAATAATGTATTTAAGTTCTTGGCAGTGGTAAAATTCAATACGTACTAGTATTGGTATTTCACAGTAGTTTTAACAAATCTCCATGTTTTGTTTATCCCACACCATTGTTACTGGGAAGATTGCTCTGAAATGTTTAGCACTTTCAAGGTGTTGGAGACTGGGCACCTTCCTCAACATTGTGAAGATTGCTCTAGAGCAAGGCAACTAGTCATGTGTTATGGTACTACTAGGCATTCCTATATCCAAGTTCTTGGTGATCCAGTCTATTAGTCTCAGTCATCTTCTCCCTATCCCCGTTTTAATTCACTATTCTTATTTATCTGTCCTCCTTCCACAGGAAAAATGAATATGCTATCACGATCATAGTTATTTATCATTTTGTACGTATCCAGAAGAGTGTAATTTCCAACTGTAATTGGTCCCAGTCTTGTCCTTGAACAAATGCTTATCCAGGATTGAAGCTCTCTCTTAAAATAAATAGTGCAAACTTGTTGGAAGTTTGTCATTGGTAGTCATTTTAGTTTTCCTTCAGGCTATGTAGATAGGTCATTACATTCAAAGTTGGAAGACCTGACTGTGAAAAAGGTTTGTCTTTTACCATGAGTAAAGCAGCTGAAACAACAAGGTCCAGTTTTGTGTAGGGTATCTATATGATCTGGTTATTAAAACAAACGAAGTGATGGAAAACTAGCATTTCAGAATTATTTAAAGAAAGATTGTCTCTAAAACCTTCCACCAGTTCTCATTTGTCAGTTTAGACAATTTTTATAACATTTTTGTTAATGTAAAAGTGTTCAGCAACTGTCATTGTGTGTCTTTGGTTTTGCTATGTGCTTGCGCAGTATCTAAGCAAAAGGAAAGTTTGCGTGACTTCCCAGAGATTGACAGGACTGTGACTTAGGACTTTATTGAAATACGATGTAGTTATGAACACAAACTTTTATTTCATATTCTTAACAGAAGTTGGATTTTCAATTAGTATGTTGTCTTTCACACTTTTTGGACTTTGTAAGCTTGAATTTAACATGACCCTAAAATTTTATGTTGCTAGGTGCAAACTATTGCTGTTCTATTTTCAAGTTGTTAATCGCTTCTAGTTATCAGATTTTTAAAAATTAAAGGCTGTCTTGAGTCCTAAACAGTTGTTGCTTAGCCTATCCAGTTTCTGCAAATGCTTGAAATCTTTTTGGTGCATATTGAAATCTAATCTCTAATTTTTGTTTTGACAGGAATTCATTTGCTTTAATGGTTGTCCTTTTTTTTTTTTTTAAAGAGTGTAAACCAGAATAGTTGTTGACCTAATTGTAAGCTTGGTATAATTAAGTTAAAAATTAATATGATTACTTAAAAGGTAAATTGTTGGGTTGTTGTGATAAAAACATGCTGAAAAAACTGTTGCAATGGTAACTATGAAGATGGTCATACTACAAAACTAAATGTCTACAGTTACAAACTTTTTGAGTGGGGAAAATTTGCATCAGCATTAGTATTGTTTGTTTTGAATTTTTTCTCAGAAGGATTGTTCTGATCTCTGTGCTCAAATCCTCTTTCATTTCATTTGTTAGGGTTTGTTGGTGCTTTTCACTCAGATTACATGTTGGAGTTTGTTGGCACTTTGTGTTCAGATTGTAGTGGTAGAAAGTTACTGCTTTTGGATTTGATAACTGTTGACAAAGCAATGCAGCAACGCTTTTTCTTTCCTCTCTTGCCTTGCCTTTAAACTCTGCTGACTTTGTGGCTGATATTTTTGTGTGTGTATTGGAGGTGTTTGCTTACATTTTCACTTCAGGAAGTTTGTGTCTCTAACAGGAAGTAAGTGCCTTTGGTGATGATGGCGAAGGAGATGACCTCGATATATGGATTGTGCAATGCAGTGGGACTTACTGGGAGCGGGAGGATGCGGTGCGCTTCAAGCACGTAGGAACTGAGGTGTTCCTTTCAATAACAGGGGAACAGTATGGCCATCCCATTAGAGGCCAGCGGGAAGTTCATGGCATGTCTACTGCTAATCATCACAACTATTGGAAAGCAATGGAAGGAGTCTTCATCAAACCCAGTATGGACCCTGCAAAACATGATGAGCTCTGAATTGACAGAGGATCTAAAATGCTTCAGCTTACTCCAATGTTCGGAGATGCTAATCCTTGGTCTCTTATAAGTCCTGCCTTGCCTAAGTGACTGACTTTGTGTATTACTGAAGGGCATTAGTTCATTCTAGGAATGCAGCACTTCTATGGGAAATGGCATCTGCCAGGTTCAGCCATTGAAATTTATTTGGTGAAATTGTTTCTGAATTTTCAAGCTTAATTGATGAAACTAGTTCATACATCTGTTAGTTTTCGTTGTCGTTTGTTTTGTTTGTTACTTTTTCTCAAATTTGAAGGAAATGGAAAAACTGAATTAATACATTTCTGCAGTCCCAAGTACAACAAAAATTTGTATTTTGTAATCTTTTTCCAATTATAATTAAATATTTGGAAACTGATTTCTACTGCTTAGTGAGATAATTTTATTAATGAGGAGATGGAGGAAGTCTTGAAAGGGAAAAGTTGTTCTCAAATATGGTGTCTTTTGAACGTCTTGAAGTCAGCTATTCAGCCTTCCAGGAAAAAAAAAATGTGGTCCGTTTGAAAATTGCTTCCAATGTCTTTCATGAGTTTTGTTACGTACTGTATTGGAAGAGTGGAAATATTGTGTATGTTGGAGTAAGAAGACAAAGTTTTAATTTATTTGCTTTCTCCAAGAAGTTCAGATTTTCTGGTAATGGTGATACTGCTAATTGTCAAATGATGACACTGCTCTGCTCTATGAACTGGTGCAGAAAGCTACTGTTTGTTTAATTAATATTAGAATTTTATAGAATTCCATGTGGTGCAAAGGAACAGTTGAATTTGACTTATGTTGTACTTGCATGTCACTCTGCAAGATCAGTATAAGAATCCAGATGAATAAATAGTGGAGCATATACCCATGTGGGTTTTTTTCATGTGAATCCAGAAGAAGAGGGAAAAGAATCTTAGAGAGTAGTTTGGACCTGGATTTTTGACAGAATGGTATGTTCTGGAGTGCTAGCAATGAATCTTCACTGAATATGTTATGAATTTCTGTGTTTCTCTTCCTCTGTGAAAAGGAAAAAAACCTAACTCTTGAATGTGTTTGTTACATGGTGTTACTGGAAATACTGATTAAAATTCAAAGTACCATACATTTCCTATTTGCTTTAAACAGAAAAGCTCACAAAATGAGTTTGAAAAGTCAGAAAATGCAGGTGTTCTTGTCTCCATGTGTAAATAGTTTACTGATTATGGTCTTAATTAGTCAATCAGTTAAAGAAGCAGGAAACCGATTTACTGCTTTTACAGCTCTGGTCACGTTCTGCAGTGCTAGAGAGAGTGTTGTGTTGAGAAGGTGCAACAGGCAATTGCAGCTAAGCTTTACAAATACGCCTACTGGTACATGCTTCATGCTCTGATGCAGGACAGGCTAGCTTCAGGTTTTATTTAAGGGTTTGCTGCTCGTGAAGATCCTTCATACCCTATGGAACAAGGAACCTCTGTAACAGTTGTTTGGTGTACCTGATTGTTTTTCTTTGAAGAAAAAGGTAAGACTGTTTTTCTATGAGTCTTAGTTGCATGTGGGTATTCAAGGATTGTGAGCGTTTTGGAGAGTAAATAGACTAGCTTTTGCTGTTTTGTATTAGAAGTAAACTTTTATGTGATGAATGTTTCAGGTTCATGGATATTCCTGACTAATTGTTGTTGAAATGGCAGCTATGAAGGATAATTTTTTAAAAACAAACCAAACCTTCTGCATAAACAAGCTGACTTTCCCTTTATTAAAAATTAGGTCTTTTCTTTTGAAGTTGGTATATGATTAAACACAAAAAGAGTGGTAGCATTTGGCAGGAGGAAGAAACAAATTTGGCAATGAGGTTTCTGTCACTAAGAGCTAAATGCATTATGCCTGAACTGCATGGGCTTAGTGTTCATGCACCTGTGGAATACTGCGTCAGCTCGGAAGGTGTAGAGCTGTGTGGCTCATCTCGGTCTGTGTGCCACATACTATCCCTACCCAATGTTTATCTCTGCCTGAATGTTTCTGTCCCTAGCAAAGGTATTTATCAGTCTTATTTATTATGCTCGAGTGGGATCTCACTGCACTTTCCTCTTTCTGTTCTGGATTTGAGCCAAATTGGTTTGGTGAGGCTGGGAAAAAACTGACTTTTACTTCCTATTGCTTACTCTGTAATGTTGTCTCAGTTTTGAGAATGCTTGTACCTTCTGTTCCTAAAGAACCAAGCTTCCACGCACACATGTATCCATGAATGCCTTATTTAAAGACATATTCAACAACATTCCTGTGAACTGAGTTTCCTTCACTTTTGAGTCTGACCACAGTGTAGAAGTCACTTGACATGTGTCACATTACATTTTTTTTCCCAGCTCTTATCACTATAAAAGTTGTGCTGAAGCACCCTTAAATAAGGCCAGTTGAAGTTCATCTTACTCTGGAAAAGGTCTCTAATGTAGTACTATTGGTACCCACAGCATGCTAAATGCAGACTACAAAAGTCATAAGATAATATAGAAAGTACAAAAGCTTATAGCTGTGAAAAATGATTGTGCAAGCGCTGACGTGCTTTCATTTCTATATAACTTCCAGATTTACAAGACTTGTAATCTTCAGAATCTGATTCATGTGGTTTTATTTACGTTGGCTGTTTACAATTGAACTTTTCAGTCCTTCCTCTACAGCTGAGGACTAGAGACTTGGAGAATCCCAATTTTTATATTGCGGGGTTTTATTGTTGTTTGTTTTCCATATTACTCTTATCTGCCTAAAGATGTTGGGATTCCTGGGCAAAACATGAAATAGTGAGAGATGTAAATGTGAGAGTTGGCAAGAAACACTGTTTTGCTGCTTTTTTTCTCTTTATTTTAAGGTGATAAACTAAATTTTATAATACCTCTTGTCAAAATTCTCTATACACTTCAACGTTAAATGAGAAACTCTTTATTTTGGCTTCTGATCGTAGCAGAAAATAGTCTTTCAAGTAACTGACAGGTGCTTTCCAATTTCTTCCTGCTCTTGCAAGAACTCTTTGAAAAGGTGCACAGATGTTGTTACTCTTCCTTTAGTAAACTAGAAAGGCTTTGGGGAAGAGAATTAAGGGATCCTTTTTTTTTTAATTGCTCTCAGTGGTAATTGCTAAAGACAATCTACGTACTTTGAACTTTCTACTTTGAAAAATCTGTCAAATACTGCATTATATACATATGTATATTTCTAGTTCAATGCAAAATGACAAGGAGTTCCTTAGAGATGTTCATTTCAGAGGCATGTATGTGTATACAAACACTTGTACTGTTTATTTTCTTAAGCTTTTTAGAGCTCAGTGTATGACCACTTGCCACACATCTTGACTTCTCAGTATGAATGAGAACTGGTTTTCGTGCTTCAGAAGTGGTAGAAGGGATGTACTGCTCATTGATTCTTCATTCTCAATGTCAAGGGTTAAAATAATAAATGAAATTATAATACTGATTTATGTTTGGCAATAGTATAGGAGTATATATGTTCTTATGAAGTTAAATTAGCATATTTTAAAAAAATCAAAAGAAAAAAATTTACAATCAAAACAACCCTTGACAGTGATGCTTACTCAGCAGTATTTTGAAGTTAGTTTTGCTGAGTCTTTTCTCTCTTCTGCTTCTCTCCTCCAGCACTGAAGCACCAGCTGTCAGTGTGGATGTGCCATGTCTCACAGCTGTACCAGACAGGGGCTGAGCCTTAGAAACATCCCCTTCCAGCAGCAGCATCTTGCTAAGTGTCTGACCCCCAGGTTGGCACATTTGCTGGCTATTTTGGTTAGGTTGCCTGCTGGCAAACTGGCTAAGTGCCTAGGAGAGATTGGTGTATGCAGGATGCCATGATGCTGCTTGCATCCCTTTCCTAGTTTAGAGTTCTCATCTGTGCCCTTTTGATTTTACCGTTCTCTCTTCAAACACGTCGTCCTGTAATCCAGCTCTGGGCCACTATTCAAGTATCTTTGATAATTAATTGCTTCATAACATGGCTGTTTCATCAGCTGCCTTTCAGGAACCCACGTGTTTGGGCTTACAAGACAGCACCCGGGGTTGTGTCATTAAGCTTTTTAAGGAAACAGTTGTTTGGGTTTTTTAAAGTTACCCTTAAACAGGAATACTCAGACCTAAGGAAATGCTTTCTTCCTATAGCCTCCTTGATTCTGTTCTGTAGGGTAGGAAGCACAGGGGATGGTTTACTTTCTCAAGAAGAAATAAAATGTTCAACCTTACCAACCTGGAGTTGCATTGGAAACACAAGGCAATTCCAACTTACCTTGGGTTATGTAGCATTTATTATGTATGCAAGTCACAAACAGTAATAAATTTTAGGGTCCTATGGTTATTTTAAATACTTAAAGGTATAAATATTTTATACTTTCTCTCCTCCTCCCACTGAGATTCTAAGCATCTCAGTGCTCCCATGTTTATAAATACTTTAGCAGGACCTTGAGTATTTATACCTAATAACTTATTTTTACTCTATGCAAAATATGGAGCACCAGAGTAAGCTCCTTCTAATCTGTTTCCTTAATCAAACTTGCAATAATTTCAGTGGTGTGAGGGAATTGATTGCAAGGTAGTAAACCAATTTCTCTGAAGACAAACTGAATTACTTTGGTTGTGTATGAGACAAGAAGGGAATATAGTGAGCACCTTGAAAGTAGACTTCAGCAGTCGCATTGTTCAACACTTCTTTCTCTTTAAAATGCAGCAAATTTAACTGATTATAAAAACCTTTTACTATATCAGGTATTGTACTAATTCTAAATTAGCATAAAGTTCACAGTGGAATCCTATGATGGCTCTGATACTGATTCAAGCTGCTGTTTTTTTGAGGGATTCAGCTGTCTTCAATCCTTTGGGAAAATGGTCCCCTGCTTCATTAGGGTTAGAAGTGTTAGAAGCTGTCTTACATCTGGCTTTGCATGTCTGGAGGACTGTCGAGCTTGGACTTGGATCTAAGGCTCTTTGATCTTCGTGAGGGTCATGTATTTATTCACCTAAGCTTAATTTTCTGAGAGTACTGATTAGTGGTAGAGGTGTGTGCTGTGCTGAAAATGGAAGTAACAGGTGAATCTAGTGTGACTCAAACTACAGTTAAACGTAAAACAAAATAGGTACCCGATGGTGTTGTGTATCTTCTGCTAATGCCTTCTCGGTCCCATCTCTACCTGCCTGGTCACTACAGGCTGACTGCAAACGCCTTCTCGCTGCTCCCTGGCTTTGCAGGTGCCCCTCAGAGAGCTCTTATCACTGGAGTTCGCTTTCTGCTCTCCTCAATCCGGGTGACTGCTCTGTCCTGCCCGTTAGGTGATCCCCTTTAGGGGAAACAGCCCTTCAGATGGTCTGTATCAAAACTTGGGTGGGGTAGATGCGGGCAGGGCCGTTCGAGGGAAGA